CATATGTATAGCTAGGTGTTGGCCTCTAGACTATTGCTAGTGATTTTGAAGCCATGGTGAGTCATTCTCGCTGAGTTTTGAGGCGTTTTGTACGCGGATCACGTGAGATTTCACTCGTGTCATCCCTATATAGAGCGTCTACCGACGCTCTGATTATAATAGTGCTAACAACATAGGCCATCCAGTAACATTTAGCAGCTCCTTACACAGCGATAGTATTTATTATGAGGACCCTAGTTTGAATCCCAACACCTGTAACCCATTCACTTGCTCATTTTCATTTTAACCAACTAAATCTGAAGGTCAGCAAAACCTGCAAAATTAAGTACTATAATTATGGTCACATTTAAGGTAAAACTCAGTATTATATATACAGTCTTTCAAACCTGGTCCAAAGAAGTGAGGATTGTCCTCTTCTCTCGTACCACTAACATGAGTAACATAGGTGTCAATTTCTCCCAGTGCATTGAACGTTTGCAGAATTCGAACACCTTCATATCTATGGAAAGGAAGGCACTGTAATACTTTTGCCATAGAGTCAATAAATTCTCAGGTCTCACAGTCCAGTCTCAGAGCCATCAGTGTCAGCTATACAGATGGTACTATCAGTATAGTTGACCGACTCATTTAGGAGTACAATTCGACTAATGAAGCGGAAGTCTCCCCCAGCTTGCCTCTTCTTATGACGCCAAAGATTGTGCTGCAATGACAATAGAAAATGTGGTAGAAAAAACATTTGCACATTACACAGAAGGTATAGAGTGTAAATTTACAAAACGGTATATACTAATAACTGGGTGTCTTCAACAGCACTGCTTAAAACAGCAAGTTTTGTTTTTAAGTACATTTTTGTGTAAATACACGGTCTTCAGTCATCTAATTATTCTTGACACCTAAACTCAGTCTTCACAAATGTCTATAAACTCACAAAATTTGCAACATCTTCCCGCATCTGCAGGCCTGAAGGATATTCAGGGAAAATATCCTTGTAGGTCACACCAGAGTAAGTGTCCCTCCTCCTTCTTCCACGACCTACAAACAATCATACAGACACCTCTAGTCTTTTGTTGCAATTCAGCAGCAGTTAACACAGAATCTTTGACCAACAATCCTTTTCTCCTATACATCAGCTTTAGAGTTTAAACCAGGCCATTCATTGTAAGCATTTTGTGTGTTAGTGTATGGGTGGTATCCTGGAACACTGGATGTTGCAGACACTGTAGCACACACACTGTAACCACAAATATCCAATGGAGTGTTCACTGCATATATAGCCAATAGCAACATGCTAGCTATGTATTATTGGCAACCGAATACCGTTGCAGTACAGCAGTGGGGTCTGCTTGTAATTGGCACTAAACATGATTCCAAACATGAAAGCCAGAATTGAACTGCTCCCTCCATTGACGACAATGCACGGGTTAATTATGCTGTTCCAAGCACCTAACGAATGAAAAGCACTGAAGTGCAAACCCTCGGCGCATTGTGACGCGCACGCGTGAGTAAACGCATGCGCTGTTCCACGAATTGATGGGCTGGGTTTAGTTCTGGCTGTTACTCCTGGTCACTAGCCGTCTCGCGCAGAGTCTGTCGCGGGCTAACTACACTGCTAGACAGCATGCGAGAGGCGATACACGCCCTGCGTTGCATCTTCTGGTGCCTCCGAGGTCGCACAGCACGCGGATCGATCAGACCGCGGTAAGCCATCCCGTCCGTTGCGTATTTGCATATTGGCATTTTTTTGTGCTCTAGCTTTGCAACGGAGCATTTTCGGAGAAAACCGCACAAATCTTCTGACCTTCGTCGCCCGTTGGGTAGATGGTATCGTTTCTGGGACGAACAGACGTTCGAGGAGTGAGATATAGAGTAACAGACAGACAGACAGACAGACAGACCCAATGAAAAGCACTAAAGTGCAAACCCTCGGCGAAGTAGCTCGCAGAGAGTCTGACACGGGCTAGCTACAGTAGTAGATAGCACGCGAGAGTCGATACACGCCATTCGTTGTAACTTCTCGTGCCTTCAAGATAGACAGCGCAAGCGGACCCGGTCGAGGTAAGCCTGTGCTAAATATAAGCGCATGCGCATTATCCGCCAGCGGTATTAGCCGTACAATGGTGGAAGCGCTCTAGCTCTGCAACGGAGCATTTTCAGAGAAAACCCTACATATTTTCTGACCTTCGTCGCCCGATAGGTAGATGGTATCGTTTCTGGGACGAACAGACATTCGAGAGGTGAGATGTAGAGTAACAGACACACACACACACACACACACAGACAAACCCAACTACAGTACCCTCGCTGTGCATGCGCGCCGAGGGTAATGAAAAGCGCTGAAGTGCAAACCCTCGGCGCACTGTGACGCGCACGCGTTAGTAAACGCATGCGCCGTACCACTAATGGCTTTAGTTTTAGCTGTTACTCGTGGTCTCCTGCCAGCTCGCGCAGAGTCTGACGCGGGCTAGGCCCTGCGTTGCATCTTCTGGTGCCTCCGAAGTACGCAGAGCACGACCGCGGTAAGCCATCCCGTCCGTTGCGTATTTGCATATTAGCTTTTTCGCGCTCTAGCTTTGCAACGGAGCATTTGCAGAGAACACCGCCTTTATTTTATGACCTTCGTCGCCCGTTGGGTGGATGGTATCGTTTCTGGGACGAACAGACATTCTAGAGGTGAGATGTAGAGTAAGACAAGCAGACAAACAGACAGACAAACCCAACTACAGTACCCTCGCTGCGCACTGTGACGCGCGCGCGTAAGTAAACACATGCGCTGTACCACTTTTTGATGGGCTGGGTTTAGTTTTAGCTGTTACTCGTGGTCTCTTGCCAGCTCGCGCAGAGTCTGACGCGGGCTAACTACACTACTAGATAGCATGCGAGAGGCGATACGTGGTGCCTCCGAGGTACACAGTGCACGCGGATCGTAGTAAGCCGTTGTGTATTTGCATATTGGCTTTTTACCGCTCTAGCTTAGCAACGGAGCGTTTTCAGCCTTTGTTTTCTGAACTTCGTCGCCCGTTGGGTAGATGGTATTGTTTCTGGGACGAACAGACGTTCGAGGAGTGAGATATAGAGTAACTGACAAACAAACAGACAGACAAACCCAACTACAGTACCCTCGCTGCGCATACACGCCGAGGATTAAATACCACAGTCACACACATGGAGCATTACTGTTATCTTGTGGCTGCTGTTCCCCACCGCCACTATCAGAACACACAGAAGAGTTGAAATCCATTGTTATTAAACAACCTGTGGAGATATTTAGTCATTTGGTTACAGATATTATAATAATTATACACTCTAATAATGTTATGCATAGTATCAATGATGGTAAAGAGTCACTTCTTCGATCCCTGTCTTCCTCCCTAAAGCAGACGATGTACATCACAAAGCCACCAGATTTCTTTTCTTCACTTGTGCGGAAGATAACAGTGAAATTCCCTGACTGTAACTCTGACGTGGAGTCATTTGAAGAGTTGCCACATATCTCAGTAGGTCTGGACGTGCCACGATCAATAAGGATGTAATCCTGACACCTGCGAAGTGAGAGCTTCATTGGACGCCATAGGTAAAACACTCTGCCGTTAATGGAAAACATGACAGCTATAAACCTAGTGGTACGAACGGCTCCTCATATAATATCTTAGTCTCGTGCCCAGACACCGCCCTCAAGAGGGGAAAAGACTCTTCTAGGTTGTGCTGACGCATCATTGTCGAGTGCATGCGCAGAAAAGCCCATTTTCATTCGTGGACACGCGGAATCCACGGAGCTGCGTTACGATCTATTACATAACATCATGTGATATTTCACGGTCGTCGCAAATACTGCAATCTGATTCGGTGTCCCAGAAGTAGACTGTCGTGTCAGCACAACCAAGAAAACGCTCGATAGTCACCAGACACCTCTCTTGAGGGCGGGGTCTGGGCACGAACCGTACGTTGTCCAACTGCGCATGCTCCAGGATTTACGCGCTTCGACACAAGCGGCCTGCCCCGTCATAATGTCGTGCAGGCGGTGAATAAGCGTGTTTGTAGCTCTGTACTCTCGCACTCATGGACCAGTCCAAAGAAGATGCCCTTCGTCGTCGAAGAGAGAGGGAAAGAGAACGTTGTGCCCGTGAGACACCTGAGCAGAGAGAGGCTCGTCTGTAGTATCAGCGTCGCTTTGCTCGCCGTTCTGCCAAAGTACGTAACGGCGACAGGTGTAAGGTAAATGGGGGTAACTCCGGATATGGGGCGTTGCACCAGCCTCGAAATTATGCGCTGCGAAAAAAACGCGAGGAAGATTTGTTAGCGCTTTGGCAGATAGTAATCAATCCGAATCTTTCTCTTGTTTCTGAATAGCGAGTTGTGTCCGGATATTACCCCGTGTCCGAAGTTACCCCCATTTACCTTATCTGTCTTGCTTGAAAGCTGTGCGCTGACGGCGTTATGCAGCCCGAACATCGCGGGCAAATCTCAAGTTGGGTCGCTCCCGCTCGCCAACACCTATGACGACCGTACGTCGTCCAACTGCGCATGCTCCAGGATTACGCGCTTCACAATTTTGACATGCTGCCTACCTGTCGTAATGCCGTGCGTATTATACATGTGCGTATAGTCCAAAGAAGATGCCCTTCGTCAAAGGAGTGGGAAAGAGAACATCGTACCCGTGAGACTCCTGAGCAGAGAGAGGCTCGTCTGTATCAGCGTCGCTTGCGTGATAGGGAACGCGCTTATTTTACATGCTGCCTATTTATCTACGACCGTACGCCGTCCAACTTTGCATGCTCCCAGGATTATAAACGTGCTTCTTTTTATCTGAAATGATTTCAAATTTTTCACATGCTGCTTGCCAGTCATAATCGTGCGTATACACTGTCTAGCTGTCATATCGATGCGAAATCTAGCCAGCGAAAGAGCTCTTTTCTATTCGCTGGCATTCCCTGCCCTCTTCGATACCTGACCGAGGCTCGATACCGCTTTCCAATCTTCGTGGTTCTAAGGTTCAAGTTGAAAATAGGCTAGGATGGCTCGTGCTGATACAGTCATTGTGTGCTCGCTCCCGCTCACCAAGAATGTTATGCATTTTCGCCTACTAGTAATAAAATAAGTAACCTACACAAGACAGCCTTTCCTATTGAGCACCAGGTATTACACCCCCAATGAGTTGTTATGGACTTATGGAGGCTCTGGACACATTAGTGTCCGTGGCTGAATATGTCGTGCTCTAGCTGTTAACTACTAACATTTGGTTTCCGTTATACACACAGTCTTCCCTTCCCGGTAGGTCGATTTCTGCAACATTAAAGAATGCTAGTCGGCCCTCATCACACTTAATGTTGTACTGTCCGAGGAGTTGATTGTCATACCTAAACAGGACAAAAACAAAACGAGCAACGATCACTTAGTTATCATGACACATAACAGTCATCATCATCATCAAAAGGCTTACTTTTTCCCGAGAATAAATCCGGGAGAATAAATGATCTTTGTGTGAACTGTGCCAGCAGTTGTGATATCTCTGATTTGCTCATTTCTACGTTTCACTCGACACTGTATTCCACCTGCACCATCTCCTTCCATTTTTGTGTAGTGAATTGAATATTGACTGCATTTTGAAAGTTAAACTTACATTACAACATAATTATCTAACAACAACAAAATAACGGCATAATTATAAATGTTATGTCCAGAGCCACCATAAGTGAAGACAATTTATATTGGGCTATATCACTAGGTGCTAGTATGTTATAAATCAATTTCTGCTTATTTAAGGAGATACCAATAGCATCCAAAGGGTTAGCTAGAGCTGCATGAAAAGCACAAACAGATCTTAAAAGAAAACTTATCCATCTCTGAACTAACAACACACTTGTTTTCTGAAGCTTCCCTGATCCTCGGATTTAACTTTTTACAAGGCACTCTGTCCAATCTACTAAGAAGACATCGAGGAATCTGCTGCTGCGACAGGCTGCAATTAAAGACAAAATTTTACAACAGCAATCAGAATGTCATGTTGATGCTCTATGCTAATGGGCTTGGTTTATGAGTGCAATATTATGTTCACTGCTCTAATTGGATGCTCATGTCTACAGATGGCACAGGTCACTCCCATAATCCAAACTCAGCAATGCTTAGCCAAGGTTTCTAAACTAGTATTACTGAACAGTATTACATTGGTAAACTGATTACACTGACATACCTACACTAAATATAACTAACTTTGCATTATCCTATAATGGGGGAGCAGTGCACAAACAACTTGATAACCATGAGAGCATCCATATAATTATAGCACACTCTGACTGGGAGTAGCTACTTTTCCTGAGTAGATAGAGACTCACCCAATAACAGCAGTCAGAACAAGCAGAGTCAGAGTAGTCTCCATTATCTATACTCTCCCCACAGACACCTTACGCTTCCTATATGGCATCAATAGTGAATAGCTACTCATTTTCATTGTAATGGCACACGTTTTTTTCCCTCCCTAATCATGTACACAGTACCTTTACTTGCACTTTGGTGCCATGCAAATCATAACAAGTGGAAATATCTCTTAAAATGAATGAAGGGATATATATAATAGGGATGGCTTTAAGAAAAGCACTAAAGTGCAAACACTCGGTGCTAAACGCGCGAGTTGTATGCTGGGCTATGCGCCATCAACGGAGCCAGTAACACGAGTCTCGCTGTAACACAGGGTAGTTGCATTAGCCGTTAGAGAAATTGCTCAGGTGTTTCAGAGGCTCTCATATTTGCTTTATTCAATCTATCCGCTCTTCTGTGTTTCAATGCTCTCGCCAGACGTTTTATAAATGGGAAGGCCTGGCTACATCCACAAACTGCTCGCCACATGAACTATGATGCTCACCATGTTTTTATCAATTGAGAACAGAGATCAAAACTGACGGAAGCCTGTAGATCGTATATATACAACCGACGTGGCGTAGCGCATGCTCCAGCGAAAATTCGTGCGTGCTATGTAGCCTGCCGGAGAGGTTGCGCGATCGACCGCACGTTGGCTTTTTCGCTTATTTTCGCGCCATATCTCTGGAACGCAGTCGTTTCAGGAAAATCGCCACGTTAATATCCATCTTCTCGTTGTTCACAACCCGTTGGTGCCACTCATTGGCCGCCTCGTAGCACGTAGTGAGAAAACTCGCGCGATCGACCACACGTTGGCTTTTTCGCTTGGTTTCACGCCATGTATCTGGAACGCAGACGTTTCATTCTCGTTGTTCACAACCCGTTGGTGCCACTCATTGGCCGCCTCGTAGCCTGTAGTGCGAGAACTCGCGCGGACAGACAGACAGACAGACAGACAGACCAAGTACAGTAACCCTTGCTGCGCATGCGCGCCGAGGGTTAACAAGGGTCATTACACACACAAAGCTACACCATACCATCTTAATGTCTTCTGTTTTATAAATGTTGCTCATTGACAATGATATAGGGATGGTGACACGTAGGTTTGTGTGTCTTTCCAGTCTAATTACACATTGTTTCCTTCCAAGCCATCCATAATAATAATCCATTTTGAAGAAGATTTTTTCCCACTTGTTTCCATCATTATTTTAATGAACAGCTATGACAACAATGCATTTTCTAATTATCATGTCACTCCAAATGTTCATAGGAGGGGTTAGACCACAGACAAAACTCTGACTGTAAGGTAGATAATGGGCTGCTGGTGCATGATGCAGGGGGTTGTAGCTAGAGACGTAGATATTTACCCAATGTGATGTCCTCTACGATAATGCAATTGGGCACGGTAGCAGTTTCATTGGCAGCTTATAGTTATTTATAGTTATCAGACTACCGTTAGCTACACCTGGGGCATAAACAATGGGGATTCATACGTGCGTCCGGCAAAGCTCACGTGACTACACATAAGAGCTACCGTGCAGACTCAGCCAAGTTCGTCCTACCAAATCAACAGGTAGCTATATAGCTAGTTGGTAATGTGTAGCTAGAGGCACTGGGTTCCGCAGGTGCGCGCGCTGTGCACCTCACAACGTCCCTTGCAGTAGCGTATCCAGGGGGTGATATGGGTGTTCGAACACCCCCCCTCCCTCCGCTTGTTAGTGTCAGCTGCGTAATCTAGCGGCACCAGGAAGATGTCGCTCCTCAATTACTTTATGTCAGTTCCTGCCCTCTTGCGCATGCCCAATAATTATTACTACTACCGAATAATACCCTTTTCGGAAACGCCACTGCCTTGCTCGGCGAATGCGGCTCAATGATGCTGAGCTAGCAGCAAATGACGTTGTTCAGTATCTACCGTGGAAGAGCTCCAAATGTAAACATCAGACTTAGTGATTTTATTATGAAGTCCTGTAGTACTATACTGTCTGATTATAATGGTGCCAGATGTCAGCATTTGTCACGCTACTACGAAATGGGAGTAGTGCAGTATAATACTTGCCATAGATGATGATGCTGTATTTTTAGTGCAGCAATAGTGAACTGATGCCTAGAATTAAAGCCAATAAGATAGCTACACAGTATATACACTAGTTGTGATAACTTTAAAATTATTATGACGTACAACCACATTGAACGACATCAATTTTCAGCCCTCTTGTTACCCTTCTAGTTTTCATAATGCAAACGTCACTTTTAGTATTTTTAGTGGTGTTGTACTACTCTCTCGCGGGATGCTATAATCATGGTGCCAGATGTCAGCTTTTGTCACACTACTATCATCATGGAATGTTATTCGGTGCAGTATAAACTTGCTCTGTCATTATACGCATAGCTATAATGATAGCTGCACACTCTGAACACCTAGCTATAACTGTAACTACCTGTCCAGCATGATACATGATGTTACTTATCTATGTACATTATTATACATGTTTGGTTCAGCTAAACCAATAGGTAGTAGCTACCTCTGCCTCTGAATATATATAGCACCTTATCCGCGCCCATAATACAGTTCATTTTCACTAGACTACAGTGTACATACCAAGTGAAATCCAGCCTCTGGTTGAATCAAAGTAGTACTAGCGCTTGTGGAGCCCTCATAATATTGTGACGGGAACGACTGCGTGACGGATATCCATTCCCAAACTTTATTAGCTATTGCGCAAGCGCAGTCACACGCGCGAATATCACGTTCCGGTCCTCTGATCGCTCTGCTCGCCGGGGTGGGGGGACGGGCAAAAAATATCTCCCGTTATATAAGCATTTGCGCACTTTTTCGTAATTCCCCCTATTGTCACGCCGCTGCCTCGACACGCGGACCGACGCTGACTTTTACTCAATGACATGACAGTACAGTAGCGTACACAGACACGAAAGCTGTCGGCCAGTCACCAGCTCCACACATACACACACACGATGATCATGACTCGACTGCCGACTGTTGCCAGACAGACCGGTTATACACAACAGAAAAACGCGCGCTACCTGATTACACAACTACACATAACGTAAGCTTCATGATTTTACACAACTGAAGAGTACACGCAATGCTGCCACGTTCAATTTCCAGACTGTGGCATCCAACTCTAAGCCGAGTCATGGATACTCGGAGCGCTGCTGAAGTTACGTTCAAAAGATATAGGGCTCCATGCCAAACTCTTTCTGTATGATTCACTTGTCCGGTCAGGCTATGTTCACGCTCTAAATTGCCATGCCAACTTATGCTGGTATATGTAGTGTCTGCTTGAGAAAATGGAGCTCTACTCTCTCTAGGTGTTGATCACCAGTGAAACCCCAGACTTCAGACCCATAACACAAAATGGGCTTCAACATTGTTTCATAGAGCTGTAGTATAACTGGAATGGCGGGTTGTCTATATAGTATATCAGTATCGTCAATAATGAAAACATTCCTTGGTTTGCCTGATTGGCGAGGTGTTTTTTTGGCCACATGAAACTTTCCATTTTTTTGTAAAAAAATATCCCTATAAGACTGCACCTTTTCCAGGATATAATTGTTCAGTGAAAATACATTAGAACTTCTATCCCCACCAAAAGATGCATATTTTGGTTTTTTCTGTGTTGACTTCTAGTTTCCTTCTTTGGGAAAAGTCTGATAAGGTGGTTATGTGTTTCCTTAGACTTGCTGCGCACTTGAGGAAATGAGGACCACATCATCCGCATACATGATTATATCCAAAATATTACCATTGTGGAATTCAATTCCTGCATTGTTTTTCTTTATTTCTCTTTCCAACTCTGCTGTGAATAGGGCGAAAAGTTGAGGGCTCAGATACAACCTTGTCGGACTCCTCTTTGGCACTTAAATAGATCAGTGGTTTCATTACTGGATATCCTGATACACGAGGATGCAGAAGAATACATCGATTGTAACACTGCAAGTATCCGCTGACTAACTCCAATACTGCAGCATGACCATAAAAGTGTGTGGTTTATGCTGTCAAAGTCAAATACACAAAGCACACATAAAGCTGTTTTTCTGACTTGAAGCCAGTTCAATCCCTGTGTTTAGAATCAAAAGGCAGTCAATTGTACTCATGTTTTTCCGAAAACCAAACTGTGACTCTGGTATCAGTGATGTTTCTTCTGCCCAGTCCATTATCCTTGAGTATTAAAATGATGTAAATATTTTCCTACTGGAGTTATAATTCCTATTGACCATTGATGTGGGTAGTGGCCTGTGTATAATGTATTATGTATGATTAAATAGATCTGTCAAAAGTGAGGTAAAATACCCACTCACCGCCTTATAAACTTCTGCAGGTATTCCATCGATCCCTAGGGCTCCCTTAGAGATTTCAAGCGAGCAATAGCTTGTAAAACTTCGTCATGAGAAATTGGGTCATCCAGTTCAGAGACGTATGGTAAGGCAGGTGGGACAGAAACCTTGTTCTGGGCCGAGCTAATGTTCAATACTTGAAAATATTCTTTAAGTTTATAAGGATCCACCTCAGATGTTACACCTTGTTTTAGTCTTGCCCGCGAGATTATCTTCCAAATATTTCGGGGATCCCTCTTGTATGTTGTCATGAGCAAACTATGGAGATGCGAGCTAGCATTCTGTTTTTTCGCTTTTACCAAATTCTTATACTTTTTATTTTCTTGATAATAACTATCTCTGCAATTAGGGTAGTAAGGGAGGGCAACAAATTTCTTTTTTACATCATTTACTCTTCGCTTTTTGACTTTACATTCTCTATCAAACCACTTATTCCTTGGAAAGGTTGTTGTAGTCCTGTTATTACTGGGCTCTGTTACCAGCCCAGTTATCACATTCATTATCCTCTCAGCAGCAACATTTGCTCTGTTAAAAGGCATACTTTCCTGTATTTCACATAAGGCATCCAGGACCTTTCGGTTGTGCTACTTCTTGGTAAAGAGTTGTGTGTTCAGTTTCATGGGCTTCTGAAAACTGAAGGACTTCCCTTGAAATGAGCAATGTTGGCCGAAACTAGCTAAGTGTACGGTCACTGGGCCTTAGACCACGCAGATCATCAATGACCTTACTCCAACACTTCCTCTGCCCGCCTTTTCGCTGTTTAAAACTCCATTCTTGATTAAAAAGCTCCTTCTGATACCGATTGCCTGGCATTGCAGCTAACTAGCTATACCACCACTTCAAATCATTCGTATCTCTACGCCCTTTGTTACGTATCAAAATCCCCCCCCCAAACAGCTTCATTACATGTCATAGATGAACACCCAAGAATGTGCTTGACTCAAACGCAACTGTCTGATTGTTATTGGCTTTAGACCGCCTTTTCCGCGTGCGGGCGGGGCCGGCTGGGCACTGGTACGCCTACCCTCACGTGATGCTCGATTTCGCCTACGCACACACCCGCGCTGGCTACCAGCAGGTGGGTGGAG